CCTGGCCCGATGCCAGCTGCTTGCTGATGATGAGTAGCTGCAAGTAAGACCTATAAAAGCCAGTCAAGGGAGACTTCTCGATGTGGAAGCAATAAGTCACCAGCCTCTTGACTCAGGGTCCACAGCTCTGAACTCTACTCTGTTCCTGCAACCTTTGGGCCAGTTCTTGACTCTGATTCTGGAATCTTCTTCCCTGCGCTTATGAACGACCTTGGACTGTTGGACCTTGCTGCTTGTATAACACTCTGAACTGGACACTGCAACCTCGGTAACTGACCTTTGGACTAAACGTTGACTGTGACCCTGGAATTTGGCTTGGACTGACCTTAGATTCTGACACCTATGTTTACTACCATGTTTACTATGTCCACATTCAAAAGACAGAACTGGGGGGGGGGGCAAATGGGTTGGCTCTTGCTTTACGTTCGGCAGGATCACGGAAACGAGCTGCCACCTGGTGTGCCGCTGAGAAGAAGCACGGTGCCCTCTGCACCCCAGGGATCACCAGGCACAAAGGAGAGGATTAGGCCCCAACCCAAGATTATCCCTGCGTGCACATCTCTATACAAGTGAACATCATACAGTGGAAATTTGTCCCCTACCTTCACCTCTTCCTCAAGTTTTGGAAGCTGCCACCAGTCTGGGCAATCAGTGGGAATGGCCAGTTTGGGGAAATGGGCCTAGATTCTGTCCCTTGCTGTGGCTGAGCTAGTGACCACAGTGAGAAAAAAGAGTGGCAGAGGAGAAGTAGGCCAGGGGAAGGGAGGGAAAGGAATGGAAATATCCCTCCTTATTGCTCCTCTGTCCAGTGCAGTACTAGGCAGAGTCTCCTGTAGAATGCAGAAGTACAGAATGTCAGAACTGCAGTCTCAAGCCCCAGCACCTGTTAATGCGACTACTCTGGGTTCTGCAGCCTGGGCCAGCCCTGCAGGGTCATGGGGGTGGAAGAGCCAATCAGAGGAGAACTGGGGCTATATAAGCTCTGCCTTTGTCTGGGCTCCTCAGTCCTAGTACTTTGGTCAGTGGGAAAGGGTCAGGCTTGTGTTTGCCTACTTCTTAGACTGATAGACTCGGCCTCCTGTCTGCTTATACCTGTGCCTTCTGCCATTGGTTCTACTATTGCTGCACTGGACTTGACCCCCTGCCCAGGCTGTGGCCCCACTGGGTCAAGATCCCTGGCTAGTGAGATTAGCTCCAGCCCCAGAGACGTATAGACGATGGTATTCTTTATCTGATGTTACTGCTGTTGCTTCAGCCAGTAATGGATGGAACTAGACATGGATCTGGGAGACCTCTGCCAGAGACTCCCTGCTGCAGCACTGGGCAACTCACAATCTTTTTCTTTCAGTAAAATTAAGGTGCTTGAAATTATAATGCCAGTTACTGGGAAAACATAATCCAAGGAGGCCCTGCTGGGTCCGACCAGGCCGGTGTCCTATTTCCTACAGTGGCCAGCCAGATGCTTTGGAGAAGCCCACAAGCTGTGTCAGGCAGCCGACATGGAGCAGCCAGGAAGAAGTATCATCGATCTCATTCAGCAGGGCTGGGATGGAGCCTGCAGTCCCAAAGCCTGACTCTACCGTCTCCTTTAAAAAGTTAATGCCCAGGCAAGGGGATGAAATAGGCCAGATTTTGTGCAGGACATAATCTTGCGCCATGATACGTGCACCGTTCAGTCAGCTCCTTTTTTACTGCCTGAGTTAGGGAAGAGAAGAGGACTTGGGCGTTTTTCATGAACGTCGCCATCATTACAGACATCAGTTAGACAGCTGTGCAGAACTGCACTGAGCTGCCGTACGCAGAAAGAGACCCTGAAGTTGGACTGCGGAGATAAGGGAGGACTTGACCCAATATCAAGTGCAGAAAACATTTTCACGCCCACCATTTGTCCAGAGGCAAATGCTGAATATGGAACTTTCTTCCTGGTGCTGATAGAAGTAAGGCGAGACCTGTTCCTTGCGTGCACCTAAAGGAAACTATAAGATAAACCCAATTACATATCCAGATATATGGCCTCTACACCCCTGGCCAAATGCAGAACCAGGGTGGGGGGTGAGCGCCTGAGCTGCCTTTCCAACCCCCATCTTTGGAAACTGTCCTCCGGCCAAGTCCTGCCACTACAGATACAAACACTGCCACCTTAAGCGGAGTTACCACCTTCTAATACCATTGGGGGTTGGCCCAGGGTTGCCTGTTCCTGATCTCTGCTCAGAAATTTCCAGTTTCTAAGAAGGCGTAGGTTTTGTTTAGGTGGTACCTCACACCAGCAAGGCTAGCTTACATGGTACCAAACTCATCCCCTCTCTGTTGGAAACAGTGTGGGGAGAAAGGGTCTTTTCTCCATACATGGTGGGAATGTGTGCATATAAATAATTTTTGGGGAAATGTACTAGTGTCCACTCAAGAAATCACTGGTTTCACCCTGCCTCTGGATCCGGTGGTTATATTGCTTAACTCATGGTCAGCGATCTCGGTGCCAAAGGTCCGTAAGGATCTGATTTTAGTTCTCACGGCAGCTAAGGCGGTCATCGCTCAAAGATGGAAGGATAGACATCCTCCGACGTTGTCTCATTGGCATGCAAAGGTGTGGGATTTCTCCACCTTGGAAAAATTTTCAGTCTACTCAGTTCGCTGTATGCTAGTGTAAGAGGTTCTAGACCCCCTAGACAAATGGTTCCCTTTCCTGGGAAAGGTAGACGCAGAACAATTAGTTTCTGAAAAGTGGTCTTTGTTTAAAACTAGCGGCCACTGCGGCGGGACTGGTGCGACCCGTGCCGAGTTCTTTGACTCGAAACAACGAGGAACAAGGTTCGGGGAACACATTTGGGGAGCGGGGAGACCCTGGTCAGAAGCCCCAACGGGTCAGGAAAGGATGGGCTCGAGAGAGAGACAGAGGAATCCTGCTGTTCAATATGGGTATCCCCGCAGAGGTTACCAATCAGACAGATACCTCTACACCCACGGTTGCAGGAGTTGAGGCTAAGAGGGTAGAAGCACACCAGGATCAGCACACGAGGATGAGAGGAAACACATGGAACAGGGAAGGAGAGGAGGGATTGCGTTGATGGGAAGCACATGGGGCTTGAGGGGAATTATTGTAATGCATTACAAAATAAAAGAAGGAAACCCAAAACACCGGAGAGGATGGCAGCAGAACGTGGAGACTCAGAGAGACGAGAGGCGATTCTGCAGTGGGCGTTAGCTGGAGTGTGATGTAACACCCGGCGCGCTCGGATCTGAGGTGTTTGTTTCCGGACTAGAAGGCTCCCACCACGGCGACCGGGCATACGGCGTCTGGGGGTAACCAGAATCCTGACAACTATGTTAACTATATTCATATACAAGTTTACTTTCTTCCTCGTCCTCTGGAATCTGTTAGATACCAGTACTGTTTGTTGGCTCTTTGTACATAGGTTATTTGCTCATTGTACCTGCATAGTCCAAGCGTGGTGTCACTTGTTACCTAGGCAATTACTATTTTACCTGTACTTCATTTATTGAAAATTCTAATAAAACATTATTTTTTTTGGGGGGGGGGAACAGAAGAAGGCATAGCTGAGGGGAAGAGTTGACCCTTTGATCCCCTTGGTCTTCCAAAAGCCCAGGAATTCCCAGGATGCATGCAGCAAGGGAGCAGTTTTGTCTCGGTGAGAAATAAGTGAATTAAATCATTCCGGGCTCCTGCCAGCTCAGGTCACCTTCCCAACCCTGAAGGGGGCCGCTCAGATCGCCTCTCAGGTCTTGCTGCCGCCCAGTCAGCCTTTGGTGACTGAATGGACGGAGTGGATAAGTCCACTGTGCATCTGGGTCATTCAGACACCACTGATGCAGAAATATAATGGAAGACCCACCCTCAGAGGAGATTGCCTGTTGTGCCTCTGTAGGAGTCACTACTCTGGTCTCGCCTTCCGCCATTCAGGAGCCACACCCAGAGGGTTATAGCAGAAACAGGTGAATAAGGAGGGAAGGTGTAGCCATTTTTGGGACCTATTGTTATTTAAAAGTAAACCTTTTGAGGTTTCAGTGTGCAGGGATGGAGTAGCTGTTCCAGAGCAGTCTGTTCACTGGTGTTTCTCATTTCTGCGGAGGGCAGCCATGTTTGCCAGGTTTGGCACATGACAGGGACTGCTCTGGCGAATGCACCGCACTTCCAACACTCCAGCACTCGGGAACCCAACACGATTCCTGCGGGTTACACATTTCTGAATTAGAGATTTAGAGCAGATTGTCAGCGCTAAACTGGATGTGGCCCAGGAGATTTGTGATCTGTTTGTATGTTTTTCCACTGTAAGGGGGTGGGATTTAGTTTGGGACACCTTAGATCAGGGAAGCAGGAGAGGGGGGGAAAGTCGATGGCCCTCTCACCCAGTGCTGGTTCCCCCATCAAACTAGCAGCTCTTTTCAAGTGAGAAAAAAGGCCAAGGATCTGATCCAAGATCTCCTGCGTCAGAGTGAGGTTGGCCTCCATCCCTGGCGTGTCTCTTGAGACCATAGGAGGGTCTCATGTGATTGACTGCTCACTCAATATTAAAAATAATAATAATTCCACTTAGAAATGTCCCACCATGCTAGATAGAAGGGTGCTCTTCATTTTCTGTGAGGGGAATTCTGTGCATGGAGCCAGCCCGCCCCAAGTCTGAAGAGCCCCAGCCCAGACAGACATTTGTGGGAAGCGGGACTTTGACTTCCTTCACTGTTTGGTATAGTGGTTAAGAGCGGCGTACTCTAATCTGGAGAACCGGGTTTGATTCCCCACTCCTCCACATGCAGCCAGCTAGGTGACCTTGGATCAGTCACAGTACTGTTAGAGCTGTTCTCTCAAGGGCAGTTCTCTCAGAGCTCTCTCAGACCCACCTACCTCATAGGGTGTCTGTAGTGGGGAGAGGAAGGGAAGGAGATTGTAAGCCGCTTTGAGACTCTGAGTGAAGGGTGGGGTATAAATCCAACTCTTCTTCTTCTGTGTCACTTTTCCGTCCACTGAGCTTCTGTTTCTCTTTCAGGTGATGTGTTATATGAGCTTCTTCAGCATCTCTTGAAGCAAAGGAATTCTCATGTGCTATTTTCCCCTTTCTTCCATCCTGGAAATTCAATTCACACCCAGTCGGATGTCATGTTACATCAGAACCACGAGGAAGGTAATGAAAGACAAAGAGATCTTTGTTATGGGAAGCAGTGTCACACACACGGTGGGGAGGTGCTCTAGAAGGAATGGGACGGTTGCAGAAAACAGGGGAAGGGAAACCCTCCATGACAAGACCTGGCTTTGGAAATTGGCATCTCTGCCTTGTAAATTGGCATCTCTGCCACATCTCCTGAGGCAGCCTCAAACCCGGAATCTCAGAAATAGGCAGGACCACTTTATTTATTTAAAACATTTCTGTGCCACCTTACCACCCTATGTAGGGCCCCTAAGGCAATGAATAATCAAAACAATGTTAAAATGCAGATGATAGATAGATAACAACATAAGAGAAGCCAACGTTGGATCAGGCCAATAGCCCATCCAGTCCAACACTCTGTCACACAGTGGCCAAAAACACCAGGTGCCATCAGGAGGTCCAGCAGTGGGGCTAGATAGATAGACAGACAGAGACAGGGAGAGATATATAGTTAAAATATTTCTAACAACTAAATAAAACATATAAAAACATACACAGATGAACAGACAAGGAGGAAAATTAGTGAAGGGACACCAAATAAAAGAAAAGAACTCCTCCTGGCAGAAGACAAAGACAGAGGAGACAGACGAATCTCCCTAGTTCCAGGGTTTCAGTGCCACGAGCAAGAAGTCCCTTTTTGGGGTTGGAATGGGCCAGAGCCCGACACCCGGTGAATTATGGGAGAAGGCCTGATGGAAGTAGAGGGGGATTTTGGCAGAGGCAATGGCAAAGACACTCAAGCCAAGCAGAAAATCATCTTCCCCCAACACAGGCGTGATTTGGGCCATCAGCTGCAGGTTTTGCTCTTTCCCCTGCGAAGAAAGCCCCGGGCCTGAAAATTCAGCTCAAGCCCTGTGATCTGGCAACTCTGATGTCCAGGTGTCCAGAACAATAACTGGCATGGCCAAGCTCCCTGTCCAGCCATCACACAGACACACGCCCATTTCAGCCTTATGTCCTGTCAGAGCCTCAGAAGAGCTCAGAGACGCATTTTCAGGTCTAACATGAAATGGCAACTCTCGCCACCCGTAGTCAGACTTAACCCGGCTTCCTTGTACGCTCCGTACACTGGGTGAATAAACATAGACCTTTGATCCGTTTCCCTCAGATTTGCTTCCAACCACTACAATTAGGGCTTTTAGTTACGGTTTAAAAAAAAAAAGACTTCCTTGGGTAGAAATTAAAAGCCAAGGAGGAGCATTTTGTTTTAATTATGGCTGGCTTCCAGCCACAGACTCTGGGCAGTGAGGGAGGCCCATTGTGCCAAGTGTTCGCAGGCAGGTAATGAGCCCTCCGTGTGTACTTTGACTCACGGGCTCTGCCTCTTTCCTGATCCGCTGCCCAGTGCGGGAACTTGCACAGCTAAAAATAGGCCCCCGCTGCCTCTTGGGGTTTGTTTTCCTAATTCTTCACGGAGTTCTTTGATAGGCTCCAAGCGGCTCTGAGGAAAGGGTCTGGAAGTTCCTTAGCAGGCTGTCACCAGAGGGCTTTCAATAATAACCGTTGAGTCTTTCACACAAATGGTTCTTTTTCTCCAGAATGTTATATGACTCTGAAAGTCATATATGTTTCCTGTGTAATCGTTCCCAAGCTGCATGTCGGTGTGCACAAGAGGTCCCCAACGTGGTGCCCACGGACGCATTTCCTGGCACCCACCAAGGGCTTTAGAAAATGCATGGGGCCTGGTGGGGCTTTCCCCCAGCAAGGCTTCTAATTGCCCATTGGAGGTTTCATTGGCTATGCAGATTTTTTTTTTAAGATTGCCTTAGCGGCAGCTGCTGCCACAGCACAAGAACCTTCACTCAAGGTAAGCTGTGGCAACCATTTTGTGGCTCACTCCACCTCCTGTGGCAGCCATTTTGTGGCAGCACTCATCCTAGTATCTCTGTCAGAATTCTGAAAATGCCCACGGGTTAACATAACACAAGAGAATGGTTTGTCAGAAATAAATTATTTCAATAATACCAGGTTTCTTATGACATCAAAGCATGCACCCACAAAGGAGGCTTCCAGGCGCATCTCTGTATGCTTCAGTGCTCTGGCCTTGCGTCGTTTTACTTAGCCTGTATTGAGGGAGCAGATACTTCTGCGTGAGAAGTGACTGAGCCTATCGCACTTGATGCAGAGACAGAGCAAAATTAAAGGAAGCTTCCTGATGTAGCTCTGCATGAGTCACTGCACTGACCTCACTGACTCCCCCCTCAGTCTGGGAGCACATAGAAGGCACAACAAACTCCTTTATGCAGAAATGTAGAGGTGGAGTCCTCCTTTCATATGTCAGTGGTGAACATTTTCTGGCATAAGAAATGTAGTCTTGCTCATTGTAATATTGAAAGAAAATGCACCTGACTTACCAGAAGACTGGGTGCATTGTCCTAGAGCATATTGCTCCCAGCCTACGCACACTTTGCAGGGGGCGGGGGTTTCAGTTGTTGTCTTTTTAAGTGCTCAGCAGCGTTTTCAACCTTTGGCCTGTGACGGATACCGCTAAGCAACTAGTAGGTTATATCTGGTCTTTGAGCATTTTTTTTTAATCCGACCCCTGGTGATTCTACCAAACTTTAATCAAGGTATAGTAAAAGATTTTCCCAGTTTCTTATGGGAAAGAATAATGTTGTCAAGTTGTAGAGGCTGATGTTACTACAGCCCACTAGCCCCTGCAATTGCCCGCTTGCACAAGTGATAAACAAACACAACCTCTGAAGTGGGGTCGCAGGGAATATTGCCGGGCCTCTTCCATTCTGAGAATAATCACATTATTTGTTCCTGATGAAGGGTGCTTCTGGATCCACCTCTGATGCTACGTCTGCCTCTTAGATTTTGTCCATTATGTGCCCCGAGCACTGTAAATGTTCACCTTTTTAGGGCTGCCCCGAGTGCACGGGCCTTGTAGCCGGGGAGGCCTTATGCCTAGCTGCAGCTACTTTATTACATACAGAGCCTGGCCGCTCATGTGGGGACCATGTTCAATAATGCTTAACCACGCAGTGGCTTGGTTTACGAGCCACTTGCAAGTTGCTGTCAGCGTGGTCAAACATGTGACAGACTGTATTCAGACAGTTCTCGTGTGTTCTCAGCTGTTCAGGAAAGCATCCCTCACCACCATCTCCCCTCCTCTTCTACTATTGGTCACGTACTCCGAGTACAGAAAACATTTCCCAGCGAGTGGCTGGCTGATGTGAGGTGTCTCTCGCTCTGGTCTCTCCCAAGTCGTGTGACCTGGTGTTTCTTAACAGGAAAAGCAAGCGGGGGGTGGGGGTGGTACTGCTGCCATTGCTGTTTCAAACGTGCCACTCTTAACCAAGAGACAGTGAGCTCCATGACCGTCTGTGCTCTACACAGTTCAGTGTACATCCCTCCCCCAATCAATCCCATTTGTATCTCCACTTTTCCTCTAAAGAGCTTGTGGTGGCAGACCTAGAGCGTTGGTGTTCACAGCTGCTCTGTGAGGTAGGTTAGCTTGAGAGAAAGTGCCCAGGGTCACTTCTGAGCAGGGAGTTAAATGAGCTCTCCCAGATTAAAGAAGAGGAAGAAGAAGAGTTGGTTTTTATACCCCGCCTTTCTCTACCTGAAGGAGTGTCAGAGTGGCTTACAAGCGCCTTCCCTTCCTCTCCCCACAACAGGCACCCTGTGAGGTAGGTGGGGCTGAGCGAGCGCTGAGAGAACGGTGACTGGCCCAAGGTCACCCAGAAAGCATCTTCAGAAAACAGCCGGCCAATGGGATAGTCTGGGTTAACTGGCTGTTGACAATGATGTTAGTGTTGGGCCAGGTATTTGCCTCTTTGGGAATAATGGTCTCCTGAACTAAGTTTGAATCAGAAGAAGCGTGCATGCGTGTGAGCGCTTATAGTCAGAATTAAACTTGGTTGGTCTCCAAGGTGGCACTGGACTCGAACCTTGTCCTGTTGCTTCAAACCGACATGGCTGCCCACCTGGATCTCCTGAACTGTTTATCTTCACAGCCCTGGCTCTTTTTTTTTTTCTTTTTTAGCAAGCCGGTAGGAAGAATTGTATTCCCACATCAGCAGCCACACAAGGGCCTGAAATGCACCTAAATTTCCCCCCCCCCCCTAAATCCAGGCTTGCAGTGTTGTTTCTCGAGGGGCTGGCCTGGCTCTGGATTTTCACCGCCTGCTGCCCATTTGGCTATGGCTGGCCTAAATAGTTGAACAAAGACGGACCTTTCTTGTTTATGACTCTGGGCAAATGAATCATACCATCCACACCGGTGCCGCTTCCTCCTCAGCCTGAACAAGGAAGCTGGTGGTTGCTGGCAGGACACTTTTGGGGGTGGGCAAGCCGATGCGTGGGCACGGAGTCAGCACAAGGTCATGCTGCAAATGCTGGAGGAGCCCCGTTTCCTCAGCAGAAGGTGCCTCTCTTCCTCCTCGAGGCCTGCAGCGTGTATCCGTGTGCAGAACAAAGAGACCATTCTCTGCTCTCTGAAGGCAGACATGAAAAAGGAGTCGTGGCAGTCAGAGGCTGAGAAATTAAGATGCAAATCCAGCTGCTGCCTCTACCCGGTGACTGGGCTGGCCCTCCGGTCGAGCGGCTGGTTTGGGGGTGCCAAGCCAAGGCACCTAACAGTCAGGGCTTTTCATGCAGAAAGGAGGAGGGTTTGGGGGCATGTTCCAAGTGATGTGGGTGGAACAGAACCGAATCCAGAGGCAATGCTAATGTCCTTGCTCCACCCAGCAGCAACACTTGTTGGATGGTCCCCCAGTCTGTCCAGCCTCAGATGGAGTCTGTACAGAAAGGTTTGTTCGTGGGAATGGGGATCATAGGTCCCGTTCACACTGGCCGATTTGAGCCGGGAGCGGGACAGTTCGGGGCCGGATCAAACCGGCGCGATCACACCACAACATCTGGGAAGCGTCTTGCTTCCGTGGCCGAACTGTCCCTTCCCCGCAGAAATCCGCCCCAAACCGAACCCCCTACCTTAGGTGGTTCAAATGGGAGAGGCGCTTCTAACCGGGCGTTTGATCGCCGGCGCGTCTTTGCGCCGGCACAACCCCGGCCCGGATCCGAACTGCGCATGCTCAGACATGCGCAGTTCGGCCGGCCCCCGGTTAGGGCCGTATTTTCTCCCCGGCGTTTGATCGCGCCGGGGAGAAAAGGCGGCGCGGCCGGGGGATCCGGGGGATCCCGCCACGCCGTGTCAACGTTGGCGCGGCTTTTAAAAGCCGCGCCTCAAGAGGCTTTTTTCCTGTCGTCTGGCAGGGGCCATACCAAGGCAGTGGTGGAGAATGTTTTCAGCAGTGTTTGCATAGCACAGTGTTATTGATACCACGTAACCAGATAAGTGGAGCTGCGGTGGCTCAAGTGGTTAAGACGCTGAACTGCAGGCTGTGGAAGGTCAGTAGTTCAGCAGTTCGAGACCCAGGTTGCCGCATGACGGAGTGAGCTCCCGTCTCTAGTTCCAGCTCCTGCCAACCTAGCAGTTCGATAGCCAGAAATTGCAAGTAGATAAATAGGTACCACTTCGGTGGGAAGGTAACAGCGTTCCGTGCGCCTTGGTGTTTAGTCATGCCGGCCACATGACCACGGAAACATCTTTGGACAGCGCTGGCTCTTCGGCTTGGAAACGGAGATGAGCACCGCAACCCTAGAGTCGGACTCGACTGGCTTTCGAGCAGGGGAACCTTTACCTTTACCTTTTAACCAGATAAGTGCATAGAGCTGTCAAAAAGGACACTGCAGAGCTGGGGAAAGTACCGAGGAGAGCAACCAAGATGCTTAGTGGGTTGGAGCACCTTCTCCATGAGGAAAGGCCGAAGAGTCTGGGACTTTTCCGTTTCGAAAAGAGACGAGTATAAAGGGGGCAGGGTCGAGGTTTATAAAATTATGCACAAGTTGGAGAGTGTTGAAAACGAGAATTTTTTCTTCCTCTCCCAAAATACTAGAACTAGAGAGCATCCACTGAAGCGGACGGGTAGCAGATTCAGGGTGGACAAAAGGAAATACTCCTTTACACAGAGAGCGACTAAAATGTGGAATTCACTGCTGGAGGACGTAGTGGTGGCCGTGGGGATAAACAGCTTTAAAAGGGGATTAGATCGATTCATGGAGGATAGGTTCATCAGCGGCTACTAGCCATGGTGACCAAGGGGAACCTCCATGTTCAGAGACACTAAACTTCTGAATCCCAGAGCCAGGAGGCAACATCAGGGGAAGGCCTCAGCCTCTGTGCCCTGTTGTTGGCTGTCCAGAGGAACTGCTTGGCCACTGTGTGGGACAGGATGCTGGACTAGATGGACCACTAGTCTGTTCCAGCAGGGCTCTTCTCGTAGTCTTATGTCAGTGAGGAGGATCTGAGCATGCAGCTATTTGAAGCCAGTGGAGATAATTATGTTTCTGCTTTGCCCATTCTGATAAATATCATCAAAGCATGTTGGGATTTGTAGGAGTCATCCATTCCCACAGAGACCCTTTTTTTGGGGGGGGGGTTTACCCTCTGAGTTCAAGCATTCCCCACCATTGCCTTCATCCCAGTTTTGGGACAGAAAGGATGCATATCGTAAGCAGGCAGGGTCCCGTGATCCCCCCCCCCCGATGTTGAAATGTTTTGAGCTGCATTCTTTGAGTGTTAGGCATGGGCTTAATTATTTCCTGTTGATTTAAGCAAGATTTGAACATACATAGCTTTGGCTGGATCATGCTGACAATGTTTTTTTTAATTATTTTTAATGTTGTAACAAAACAAAACAGAAGTCCAATGGCTCCTTAAAGACTAATAATCTTTGTCCCAGCATTTAGCCTGTTCAGTGTTTTGTAGGAAATAGTTACAAGAATGGGCACAGTAATAAGATCAATGAAAAAAGAAAAAAGAACTGTGACAATTTAGCGCTTGGTACTATATTCATAAATCATAATATACAATAACAGAAAAAAAGTAATATATATAGTGAATATAGACGGTGGTCTCCGGAATGGTGTGCCGTTTCGACAATGAACTTCTTCTGAACAAGGATGTGTACATAAACTGTCTTTCAACAATTCATTTCTCTTGGTGACGTATTGAAAATATACTGTTGATTCACTTCATCATAAAGCTATGCTTACAGCTATGTTCTTCATTATAGCCCATTGAAGAACATAGCTGTAAGCATAGCTTTATGAAAGGCACACCATTCCGGAGACCACCGTCTACATTCACTACATATATATTACTTATTTTCTATTATTGTATATTATGATTTATGAATATAGTACCAAGCGCTAAATTCTCTCTGGTTATCTTCGCTCTCTTTTCTTTTTTGTCTCTTGTTTTTCCATTATTGCTGCCGATTGAGTACTTACTCCTTCTTCAGGCGCTAAATTGTCACAGTTCTTTTTTCTTTTTTCATCAGTGTTTTGTAGGAGACAAATCTTTGCCAATTCAGGATTAATTAATTGACGCTGATGGGCTTTTCCTTTTGAACGAGAGAGTTCTGGACTATTTGCATGTTAGATGAAGCGAGGGTGGAATCATTTCAGTTGTATGACTGTGCGTACAATACCAGTTTCCAGCTATATTGAACAGAATCCCTCCTTTAGAAGTGTGTGAGGCATCTGTTAATCTAAAACATAAAGGGCCAACTGCTGTATTCTGAGGGTCCTCGTTTTTCTCTACTCTGCATTCCAGTAGTATATTTTTGCAGCTCAACCTCATTTCCTCATACATTTATAATAACTCAGGGCTCTGTGTGTCCCAAGAAGTTCAGAATGTTGTAGCTGGGGCAGACTTTAGCTTCCTGCATGTTTCCAGACATTTTTTTAAACAAAAAACCTTGAAACAGGGCAATGAGTGTCGACATCTCAGCAGCCAGAGTGGAAAATGAACAAGATTCTCAGTGGTTCAGCATCCAGGTACCCAGAAAACCCAAATATATTTTTTGCAAAATAGCAAAAGATTGCAGAATCTCAAGTGGTTAAGACGCTGAACTGCAGGCTGTGGAAGGTCGGTAGTTCAGCAGTTCGAGACCCGGGTGCCGCATGACGGAGTGAGCTCCCATCTCTAGCTCCAGCTCCTGCCAACCTAGCAGTTCAAAAGCAAGAAATTGCAAGTAGATAAATAGGTATCACTCCGGTGGGAAGGTAACAGCGTTCCGTGCGCCTTGGTGTTTAGTCGTGCCGAACCTTTACCTTTACCTTTTTAAGTGCAACTGAACAACAACAACAACAAGAAGCAATTTGCATATCTGTCCAAGTTGCGTGATTTTTACAGGTCAAAGATTTGGGGGGAAATAATTTAAAGCACGGAGTCAGAATCAATATTCTGTAATACAGACCGTGTAACCCATCAGTAAGGGCTTTGCATAGGGTCAGGCATACCGGGGGCAGAGCACCAAGGAAATATTGCGTCATGATATGAAATCCCTCTTCCTCCGCTAACTTTCAAAAACAATTTTCCTTAAAAGCAAATTCTTCATCCTTCCTTGCTTAAAATTTGAGAGGACCAAGAGGAAGAGAATAAAATAAGACGGCTTGACCGGGTGCCTTGGGCCGTCCCCGATCCATCGTTCTACACAATTTATGCTTTTTCTCTTCCCTCTACAGACAATTTCATCCAGCGACCGTCGAGACAATCAACAGATGCAGGCCACCACAACCTGCCCACTATTGAACTGTTACATCGTTCGAGATCACCCATCAATGCCAACCACAGGCCTTCTCCGGAGCCTGAGCAGCGATCACTGAAATCCCCGCTAGAGAACACTGTTCGTCGCCTTTCACCAGCAGACCGGCTCTCAGGGACAAGACACCACCAGGAGAACAACCACCAGGAGTCTTACCCTCTCTCTGTGTCTCCCGTGGAGAACAACCACTGCCCAACCCCTTCCGACGTACTCCAGAAGCCTTCCAGCCCCCGCCAGGAGAACACCCGCGTGATCCAGCTGATGCCCAGCCCCATCATGCACCCCTTGATACTCAACCCCAGGCACTCCGTGGATTTCAAGGCCTCCAGGTTGTCCGAGGACGGGCTGCACAGAGAAGTCAAGCCCATCAACCTGTCCCACCGGGAGGAGCTGGCCTACATGAACCACATCATGGTGTCGGTCTCCCCTCCCGAAGAGCACGCAATGCCCATTGGAAGGATAGCAGGTTAGTGGGACGCGATACGGGTCTCGTGTGCTTGTGTGGGATCGGCCGCATGTTTTCTGGAGCAGCTGTGGACTCTTGTGAACAGGAGTAGCGTTTTGTTTTTAAAGGGATGTCGTGTGAAATGCGCAGGATCTCCTGCCTTCATTTAAAGATACAAATAGTCCAGCATTGGGTTGGATCTTGCCTAGCGTTTCCGCTGATGGCGCTTTCTGCAGATCGCACTCCTCCCTGCAGACCTCTAACTCTCCTCTTGGGTTCCCCTGTCCTCTGGAAGCATTTAGAGGAGATGGGAGGGAAGGCTGTAGTGGAAGGCGGAAGGTGAGAAGGTCTTGCTCCTGTGATGGAAATCCTTCCATTCGGCAGTCATTTTCAGCAGGGCCCAAGCCGTTGGAAGTGGGCCAGTATTACTGAAGCTAATGGGTACATAAAGTTTGAAAGAGACTTGACCGAGAGCAGAAAGCGGTCAGTGGCGTACAGTATAGTGTACTTTAAAGTGGTACTACTTTTGGGCTTCACCGCAACAAATGCATATGGCCACCCTTTGGAATGTGTCACTTTCAAGATAAACGTCCATGCTGATGTGGGGCAGAGAACTTGTGCGGCTGCCCCAAACCTTCCATGAACTGGAGAGATAGGAGACTGCCACTGTTCTTGCTGCAAGAAGGGCATGGGAGGTCTCAGTCTGGTGGGAGTTTGATGCCCACACAAGTAGCCCACGCGCCAAGTAATTATTTGCAGGAGTGAATGGGGACCTGCTTGTTATTACAAAAAACAAGGCTGCAGAAGGAGGATGTTCAGAGGAGCTGCAGGCAATCAATCTATGAGTTGTAGAAATTCACCCGATGCATTTGAAGGCAGGGTTCTTTGGGCAGGGCGATTTCCCCACTGCTTACACAGGAGAGACATTTTCCTCCTTTCTGCTTTGTGGCTGCTTGTAGTTGTGACTGCATAATTTGTGCTCTTGAGTTTCTTTGGCAACAGCAGAGGAGCCTACTGCAGGCCCCAGGTGTCCCCAACTCTGTGCCCATGTGCTCCTTGATGCCCACCAATACTTTTCCTGACACCCGCCAGGTGTTTATTAGAATTTGGGTGGGGCTTTTGCCCAGCAAGGTTTCTGATTGGCCACCGGAGCTTTGATTGGCTGTGCAAACTTTTAAAAAAGATCACTCGGGCAGCAGTTGTCGTCACAGCACAAGAAAGGTAAGCTGCGGCACCTGTTTTGTGGCTGACTTTGCCTCCTGTGACCGCTGTTTTGTGGCCGTGCACACCAGGCTATGTCAGAATTCCAGAAGTGTTCACAGGCTGGGAAAGGTTGCGGATCCCTGCTGTAGACAGAACCAGGGCTATTTTTGGGCAGGAACGCACAAGAACGGAGTTCCGGCTGGCTTCCAAGTTGGCCACACCCAGCAGGAACTCATTAGCATAATAGGCCACACCCAACAGCAGAGACTCATTAGGACTGGCTACATTAGGGGTGTGTGGCCTAACATGCAAAGGAGTTCCTGCTACAAAAAAGCCCTGGGTTTTGACAACAAACAAGGTAAACAGAATAAGAAGCAAAAGGTGAGTGTGGCTGGATGACCACACTTCTGGTAACATGGGGGTGTGGCCTAATGTGCCAATAAGTTGTGCTGTCAGGGGTGTGGCCTAATATGCTAATGAGCTTCTGCTGTTGGGTGTGGCCTATTATGCTAATGAGTTCCTGCTGGGCTTTTTCTACCAAAAAAGCCCTGGACAGAACCGCACGTCGTAATCCGCATTGGCTGTCACCAAAACGGGGAGCCTCCCACGCACAACATCTACTTACAGTGTGACCTAAAACCACAACATGACTTCTTCCCAGCCCCTGGCAGCCAGTGAGAGGAGTGGGGGGGAGGGCAGCACATCATTAGCAATGTGTATAATCAAGGCTTCCCTTGCAGTCACAGTCTCCTCAAGCATAATTCCCACATTCATTTTTTTATTATTTGAGTGTGTGTGCGCACATGCGCATGCGTGCACAACCTTGGAAGTCATGGTGACTTCTCTCGTCCCCTACTGGAGCTAGGACGTTTTCGGAGAGGTGGCTGGATAGAACCTGCCTCTGTGTCCTGGCCCTGGTATTCCTTGGAGATCTCTCTTCCAAGTTAACACTCCCTGAGGCCCGCAGTAGCAGGGGAGGGTGTGTTTAAAAAAAAACCCCTAAATAATCAAAGTACTTCCCAGGGCTGGTCCTGCTTGGCTTCCGAGATCCGACAAGATTGGGCTTGCCTGGGCTACCCAGGTCAGGGCCTCACATTCATTTTTGATACGGTGACGCTACCACAGTCAGCGCAGATTGTATGACATTGAACTACTAACGATTACTTAAAGCCTTCCTGTGTTTGCCCTGGCAGAACTCCTGACCTGGATAGCCCAGGCTAGCCCGATCTTGTCAGATCTCGGAAGCTAAGCAGGGTCGACCGTGGTTAGTATTTGGATGGGAGACCGCCACGGAATACCAGGGGCATGAGGCAGAGGCAGGCAATGGCAAACCACCTCTGGAACGTCTCTTGCCTTAAAAACAAGTCTAGCTCGCCACCTAGTGGTGCCGAATGCTAAAAGAGCTAGAACTTCTATCAGGCAATCTTAGGATTTCCTGGCTATACTATACACACTGCCATATGGTAATTATTATTACTGACAGAACTGGGATTCTGGTTCCTCATGAGGGATTAATGGCTTAGGGTGCAATCCAGGTAAGCCCTGTTAAATTCGGTGGAAGGAAATTACATGTGTTTAAACCGTTACCATTGCAACCAACAGGGCCTACCAGTGCTCATGTTTGCCCACATCATATCCACTACTTGCGCTCCTTTCCCCATCTCACAATGTGAAATGGGTTTGCAGGAAAGTACTTTAGCACTGAAAAAAAATGAATTTATTTTGAGAAGTGCCATGAATGAAAACAAGATGCCAGGAAAGGATTACTCAGAAACCGGCAGTCATTATTTGTCAGGACGGTCCAAGGTATGATTGCTTTAGATGATAGAAACAGGATGCTGGCAGATCACATTAACCTTGCTTTCATTTTCCTTAAAGAAATAACAGAGGATATATTTTTTCTTGTAAGATGGATCAGAATAAGGATTGGCAAGGGGTGTCCCATGAACAAGTGAAGCTGAGTCAGAGATGTGATATATGAAATCAGAGATGTGACGCTGGCGCGTGTTGCATAATTGCAAGATCGGGAACAGTCACGTGAACATACACAGGTGCTTGGTTCTGAGTCAGTCCGTTGGTCCCTCGCTGTCCTCTGCTTTCTCTAGCTGGACTTCCCCTTGGTTCTCTCACGAAGATCTTTCCTAGTCCCGCTGCTCTGAGGTGCTTTTGACTCTGAGCCACTAAAAAGGGAAGCTGGTAATGTGTTGCATGTGAAGCGCATGATGGATACCTAGGCTTCCCAAGTCCCCCTGGAGGGTGGGGAAACCCCCACCCCAGAGGCCTGTTCCCCGCCGCCGGTGGATCGGGGCCCGGGGGGAACCCCACCCCGACGTGCACGTCACCCGGAAGTGACGCGGCCGCGCCGGGCACGCTGGGGGCGGGGCCACTGTCATCTGAGGGAAAACTCTATGGTTTTCCCTCGGATGGTCGTGGCCCCACCCCCAGCGTGCCCGGCATTGTCACATCACTTTTGGGTGACGTGCGTGCGGTGCGCGCTTTGCGCGCGCGTGCTCCAGCCGCAGCACAGGAGTCCCCCGGTAAGGAGAAATTTCGACTTGGCAACCCTATGGATACCTAAGCTACGCCCACCCCCACATTGATTTTAAATGTTACTTTTGCAAATATTCTTATCTTGTGATGCTGAACTTTGCCCCCAGAGCAAATCCAAGGCTTCTGGATACTTTTGTCTGCTCCATTAAAACCCCAAGGCCACAAGTTATCACTTGCCTTAGCAGATAGCTCTTATCCAAACCCAAGAAAACGTTTGTGTGCCCAATACTGTGTTGTAATGCAGCACAGGTCTAAAGTGTTTAACTTCAGAAAAGAAGCTGGTTGACACTCCGCTGTGTCTGTTATTGGACGGCTGCCTGACTACCGCCCCGCATAATTTGGGCGTGGGTCTGGAGGCCGTGGTGGGGTGGTGTCAGCAAGCTGCCATGGTGTTCTGTGTTATTTGTGTCTTTGTACAGTTGCTCACCCCCCCCTGCCTGTTCGCTAGTATTCTCTTCTGCTGTAATGCCTAAGCCAAACAACTGGAGGATGTATTGGGGGAGTTCGCTTCACTGCCAGCTTGTTGCTTTTAGAGCCTGGGAACTGCACCTGTGTTATGTCTGGAGATAGCCTGGTTCTCAGGGAATGAGCGCGAACCCGTTTTAGCTTACCCGCCAGCGGGAAGGTGACCTATTGGTTATGTACCTGTTTCAAATCCCTTTATTATGCTTGCCCTAACCGTTTGTAGTCAGTTCTAACAAAGAACGTGTTTGAGTATCTTCCAATGCTTTGAAATAAAATCTTGCTTTTAAAACGTGGATTTATTCTCGATGCTTGGGATCCCAACAGGTGGTTAAAAAAGAGCAGGCTGAGACCGAATCCAGCAAAGACAGAGGTTCTGTGGCTGGGGAGTGGGGGCTTCAGGGGCGTCGTTGATACCAGCGCAGTCCATCAAGAGTTTGGGCATGGTCTTGGATGCCTCCTTAACTATGGAGGCCCAAGTCATGCACATTTGCCAGGTTGGCATTTTTCCATCTGCGGCAGGCTCAGCAATTGGCCCCTTTCTTTTCGTGCCCTGACCTAGCCACAGCAATCCATGCAGCAGTCACCTCCAGGCTAGACTACTACAACTCGCTTTATTCTGGCCTGCCCTTGAGTCTGACCTGGAAGCTCCAACTGATCCAGAACGTGGTGGTGCAAGTCCTGATGGAAACATCACGAACAGCACACGTACGGCCTGTGCTGTGCCAGCTACACTGGCTCCCAGTGTAGTACCAAGTCAGGTTCAAGGTTTTGGTGTTGACCTTTGAGGCCTTGAGTGGTCTGAG